TGAGCGGGCACCCACAGGTGTGAGCGGGCACCCACAGGTGTGAGCGGGCACCCACAGGTGTGAGCGGGCACCCACAGGTGTGAGCGGGCACCCACAGGTGTGAGCGGGCACCCACAGGTGTGAGCGGGCACCCACAGGTGTGAGCGGGCACCCCCAGGTGTGAGCGGGCACCCCCAGGTGTGAGCGGGCACCCCCAGGTGTGAGCGGGCACCCCCAGGTGTGAGCGGGCACCCCCAGGTGTGAGCGGGCACCCCCAGGTGTGAGCGGGCACCCCCAGGTGTGAGCGGGCACCCCCAGGTGTGAGCGGGCACCCCCAGGTGTGAGCGGGCACCCCCAGGTGTGAGCGGGCACCCCCAGGTGTGAGCGGGCACCCCCAGGTGTGAGCGGGCACCCCCAGGTGTGAGCGGGCACCCCCAGGTGTGAGCGGGCACCCGCAGGTGTGAGCGGGCACCCGCAGGTGTGAGCGGGCACCCGCAGGTGTGAGCGGGCACCCGCAGGTCTGAGCGAGCACCCGCAGGTCTGAGCGAGCACCCGCAGGTCTGAGCGAGCACCCGCAGGTCTGAGCGAGCACCCGCAGGTCTGAGCGAGCACCCGCAGGTCTGAGCGAGCACCCGCAGGTCTGAGCGAGCACCCGCAGGTCTGAGCGAGCACCCGCAGGTCTGAGCGAGCACCCGCAGGTCTGAGCGAGCACCCGCAGGTCTGAGCGAGCACCCGCAGGTCTGAGCGAGCACCCGCAGGTCTGAGCGAGCACCCGCAGGTCTGAGCGAGCACCCGCAGGTCTGAGCGAGCACCCGCAGGTCTGAGCGAGCACCCGCAGGTCTGAGCGAGCACCCGCAGGTCTGAGCGAGCACCCGCAGGTCTGAGCGAGCACCCGCAGGTCTGAGCGAGCACCCGCAGGTCTGAGCGAGCACCCGCAGGTCTGAGCGAGCACCCGCAGGTCTGAGCGAGCACCCGCAGGTCTGAGCGAGCACCCGCAGGTCTGAGCGAGCACCCGCAGGTCTGAGCGAGCACCCGCAGGTCTGAGCGAGCACCCGCAGGTCTGAGCGAGCACCCGCAGGTCTGAGCGAGCACCCGCAGGTCTGAGCGAGCACCCGCAGGTCTGAGCGAGCACCCGCAGGTCTGAGCGAGCACCCGCAGGTCTGAGCGAGCACCCGCAGGTCTGAGCGAGCACCCGCAGGTCTGAGCGAGCACCCGCAGGTCTGAGCGAGCACCCGCAGGTCTGAGCGAGCACCCGCAGGTCTGAGCGAGCACCCGCAGGTCTGAGCGAGCACCCGCAGGTCTGAGCGGGCACCCGCAGGTCTGAGCGGGCACCCGCAGGTCTGAGCGGGCACCCACTGGTGGGAGCGGGCACCCACTGGTGGGAGCGGGCACCCACTGGTGGGAGCGGGCACCCACAGGTGGGAGCGGGCACCCACAGGTGGGAGCGGGCACCCACAGGTGGGAGCGGGCACCCACAGGTGGGAGCGGGCACCCACAGGTGGGAGCGGGCACCCACAGGTGGGAGCGGGCACCCACAGGTGGGAGCGGGCACCCACAGGTGGGAGCGGGCACCCACAGGTGGGAGCGGGCACCCACAGGTGGGAGCGGGCACCCACAGGTGGGAGCGGGCACCCACTGGTCTGACCGGGCACCCACTGGTCTGACCGGGCACCCACTGGTGGGAGCGGGCACCCACAGATGGGAGCGGGCACCCACAGGCGGGAGCGGGCACCCACAGGCGGGAGCGGGCACCCACAGGCGGGAGCGGGCACCCACAGGCGGGAGCGGGCACCCACAGGCGGGAGCGGGCACCCACAGGCGGGAGCGGGCACCCACAGGCGGGAGCGGGCACCCACAGGCGGGAGCGGGCGCCCACAGGCGGGAGCGGGCGCCCACAGGCGGGAGCGGGCGCCCACAGGCGGGAGCGGGCGCCCACAGGCGGGAGCGGGCACCCACAGGTGGGAGCTGGCACCTGTGGGTGCCCGCTCCCACCTGTGGGTGTCCGCTCTCTCTCTCTCTCTCTCTCTCTCTCTCACTCACCTGTTACTAGTAGTTAGTAACAGTTTAGAAGCGGGCCGAAAGATCAGAGCTCAACCCCCGCAAGCACAAGTAAGTTAATACAACTAGGTGAATACACACACACACACACACACACACACACACACACACACACACACACACACACACACACACACACACACACACACACACACACACACACCGTCCACGTTAAGCTAATTAAAACCTTTGGAGCCAATGACCTATTTAGTACCTGCGAGCCTGACATGAAAATTAATCTATTGTCTTGAAGGCTGAGCACAGAAGGCGGTGATAAATGTCTTACGTCCAGCGATAGTGACATAAAGATGTCTGGTGGCCAAGCTTCATCAACCTTCACCGAAACCTGTACATCTTGTAACAGTCATGGCGGCTGTGTTTACATTAATTAAAGGGTTTATGAGCTCCGAAGCTTGATACTTCAAGGTTATTTTGTGTTTATAAACCGGCTCGTATAGTGCTTCTGACCTCGTATATTGTTTACTAAATGTATATGGAGGTGCGATGATTGTAGAAAGGTGGAGGACAGGTTTTATTAATGATTGGGGATTCGTGGCTTGGGATTGTGGGGGTAGGCGGGGGATTGAGGCTGGATTTTATTGAGATTTATGTAACTTGTAAAATTTTTTGGCTAATCACCTTTTTTTTTTATTTGTTTTTTACTAGTTTTTGTGCATAATAAGTGGTTACTATCTACTCATTCCCTTCCCTTTTCTCTTCTTTCCTTTCCCCTTCCACCTCTCCTTCCTTTTCCTTCCCTCCCTGCTCTTTTTACCCCTCTCACTCTCCACCTTTCGTCCTCTTTCCTTCCAACCTCTCTCTCTCCACTCACACCCCAGCTCTCTCAAGGATTTATCAGTCCGTTTCCGAAACCTATACATCTGTCCCTAATCATGGCGGATAATTGTGTGTATATTTAGAGGATTGCGAGCTTGGAAACGCTCGCGGGCGCCGCAGCTCACAAAATTGCTTAACAAATGTCAACTAAGACTGCCATGATTGAATACTAATCCATGGCTATCTGAGATAGGAGTCATTGAGCCTTTTCCCAACCACTGACGAAACCTGTACATCTATCCATCAATCATGGCAGCTTTACTTAACATATGATAAACAGTTAGTAATGAACTTCGAATGACCACGAAGTTATTTATAACTTAGGATTAACTTAGGATTAATTTAGGATTAATAACCTAGGATTGTGAAATTTCTAAACTCACCTTATGTTTTAATGTCAACAAAACACACATTCATGATTCTAGAAAGATGGACCGGTTTCGTAACGGTTGAGACATCAAAACGATTGTGCTTACCACGGCCAGGATTTATAACAATGTGTTAATTATCCCTGTTAAACTCTTTCTCCCCCCCCTACACCATCCACTCTCCTTCCCCCTTATTCCCCTTTCCCCCTATCCCCCTACCCCCCTCCCTTTCCCCCTACCCCCCTTTCTCAACAACCTTTGTGGTTGTTGAGGTCATTGTGGTGATTGAGGTCATTGTGGTGGTTGAGGGTCATTGTGATTGAGGTCATTGTGGTTGAGGTCATTGTGGTTGAGGTCATTGTGGTTGAGGTCATTGTGGTTGAGGTCATTGTGGTGATTGAGGTCATTGTGGTGATTGAGGTCATTGTGGTGATTGAGGTCATTGTGGTGATTGAGGTCATTGTGGTTGAGGTCATTGTGGTTGAGGTCATTGTGGTTGAGGTCATTGTGGTTGAGGTCATTGTGGTGGTTGAGGGTCATTGCTATGAGTGTAACGACCTTATCCTCGGCGCCAAGCCAAGCAACACATATATGGACATGCAAAACAACAGCAGCAAAAAAGAGAAAACTTCTTTACATATGTAGAGAGGTCGAGATAGTTACGGGTGTAGGTCAAGGGGTTAGAGGTCAAGGGGGTTGCAGGTCACGGTGTTATTGGAGCAGTAGAATACATACAGCTGTAGTTCAGCGGTGTATGTTCTATTAGGGCTACGTTGGGCGTATCTATATATATATATATATATATATATATATATATATATATATATATATATATATATATATATATATATATATATATATTGGTGTATACTGGCAAAAGGTTTTCATTTAAACACGTTTCACTCAATATGAAACCTGTTTATATTGCATGAATATGTATAAACACAGAATATGCATAAACATGCATATCCTGTTTTGTCATATTCTTGTATAGGGCTTATGTCCGTCTGACTAGTGCTCTTGGTTTAATTGAAAGAGGATTTATCCAAATATCATCTTTGTTCTAGGCAAAGGAAACGAATAATTAACTAAAAGATACATTACATTAATTATAAATATACACAATGTTTCGAACCTATATGGTTCATTCTCAAGTGATGGGACTGTTGTTGTTTTTAGATACAGCTACTCTGAACAAACAGTTCCATGTAGCACGGGCTATGGTGAGCCCGTAATGGGACAGTTTTGGTCGTATTGGATTTACACCGTGAGTCCGGTACATACAAATACAAAAAGGTGAAAAGGCGTAAAGGGGTAAAAAATAAGGTGAAAAAAGGGGGGTGGGAACTCATACAAAGATTAATCAGGTGTAGTGGGCTTCGTGATTTGGGTGGAGTCGTCGGCGTTGGCATCTTCACGTTCCGGTCTTGTTCTAACTCTCATGGTGGGTAGAGTGAATAGTTCCTCCTCCAATTAAACCAAGTGCACAAGCCCTAGTAATAGGAATAGAAGCCCTAAACACGGACAAAAATCAACACAGAAAATATATATGTATATGTATTTATGAGAGAGAGAGAGAGAGAGAGAGAGAGAGAGAGAGAGAGAGAGAGAGAGAGAGAGAGAGAGAGAGAGAGTGATTGACAAACTGACCACACCCAATTAAATCTCAGTGGTATCCGACATGGTACCTGAATAAATATTAACAGCGATACCGAGACCACAATAAATATCATCAGAGGAGACCATTTTCCCTTTGACATGTACACAACAGAGGTAAGGGAGCTGGCAACAGAGGTAAGGGAGCTGGCAACAGAGGTAAGGGACCTGGCAACAGAGGTAAAGGAGCTGGCAACAGAGGTAAGGGAGCTGGCAACAGAGGTAAGGGAGCTGGCAACAGAGGTAAGGGAGCTGGTAACAGAGGTAAGGGAGCTGGCAACAGAGGTAAAGGAGCTGGCAACAGAGGTAAGGGAGCTGGCAACAGAGGTAAGGGAGCTGGCAACAGAGGTAAAGGAGCTGGCAACAGAGGTAAGGGAGCTGGCAACAGAGGTAAGGGAGCTGGCAACAGAGGTAAAGGAGCTGGCAACAGAGGTAAGGGAGCTGGCAACAGAGGTAAGGGAGCTGGCAACAGAGGTAAGGGAGCTGGCAACAGAGGTAAGGGAGCTGGCAACAGAGGTAAGGGAGCTGGCAACAGAGGTAAGGGAGCTGGCAACAGAGGTAAGGGACCTGGCAACAGAGGTAAGGGACCTGGCAACAGAGGTAAGGGACCTGGCAACAGAGGTAAGGGACCTGGCAACAGAGGTAAGGGACCTGGCAACAGAGGTAAGGGACCTGGCAACAGAGGTAAGGGAGCTGGCAACAGAGGTAAGGGACCTGGCAACAGAGGTAAGGGACCTGGCAACAGAGGTAAGGGACCTGGCAACAGAGGTAAGGGACCTGGCAACAGAGGTAAGGGACCCGGCAATACAGTCATGCGGTCACTTGAATACCAAAGTTACACGAAAAGGGTCAAAGGTTGATGAATACCATCGAGGCACCGGAACGAGCCGAGGTGAGTAATTAGCATTACATGGCCAATTACCACCCCGACAACCCATTCTTGTGCCGTATAAATGGAGTGGGAGAGAAATATTAGGCAAACATATTCCTGTAACTGATAATGTGTAACGTTAGGCCAACAGTCCTTGACAAGACGGGCTAGGATGTCTTAAGATGTTCAGTTTGACACACGTCAAACTCGGGCAAACCCCGACTCATTCCCTCGCCTTAAATGGTGCACCAATGTATTCAATTCATTTAGCTTTTCCTAGCTTCGTAACCTGTAACTCATGTCTCTTTCGAACGAACAGTGAGAGAGAGAGATGGAGGACACGGGTAGAAACTTGAAATATAAATGTTGTAGATTATCTTAATTATCCCTGTCATCGCTATGGCTGAATCTAATAAGCCCGTCCTCCAAACCGTCCTCAGACAAAGTCCATTCCATGCAGCGGTCGACCCCAAAGATGCATTCATAATTTTTTACATGTTGTTCATTCAAAACAAAAATTTTCTCAAATATAAATTAATATTATAAAAACATATTGTGCATATTTAAGCATAGGTTAGGTGAGGTTAGGTTAGGTGAGGTGGTTAGGTTCTGTTGGCGATTATTTGTATTTGTAGTACGTGGGTGAAGCATTTATAGCGTTGTGGTTCGAATAAAATTCGTCAGTGTAGCACTTGTTCCGGAAGTGTTCGAACGTCATCAGTTGTGAGTCGTGTATAAACCGTTTTTCATTCATAAACAACTGGGGTTTGGCGGGTGGATGGAATGGACTTTGGATCTTTGTTTGGAGGACGGGCTGACACGCTCACAACTGATTTCGTTTGAACACTTCCGGAACAAGTGCTTCACTGACGAATTTTGTTCGAACCACAACGCTGTAAATGCTTCACCCACGTACTACAAATACAAATAATCGCCAACAGAACCTTTAACACCTAACCTAAGCCTATATATATGCACAATATGCTAATATATTATCTATTAACTTATATTTGAGAAAATTCCTGTTTTGAATGTTAAAAATGTTTTGAATGGTATGTTAAAATTTAGGAATGCGTCTATGGGGTCAACCGCTGGATGGAATGGACTCGAGTTGAGGAATAGTTGAACAACTACGCATTTTGAACAAGTGAAACAAGCCAGAACAACACCATATAACTTCATCCAAATCTTTTACAATAGACGCGAAAAAGCCCTTGAAAACTTAGAGTAGAATCACCCATCAACTGAATCGTTACAGGCAAGGAACAACAAACTAACTTCACTCAGAAAACAAAAAAACAAGTTAATAAATAAATCAAGAAACCGCACACGCATTCGCACGCAAATAAATACATCCCAATCCTCAAGGACAATGATTAGAAATAAATTAGTATTCCACGAGGGATCAAACTTGTTCACCATCCTGTTTATACATCACCGAGGGAGTGTATAACTAATTAACCAGTTTGATTTTATCGTCCTGCAAAGGGGAGCACAATGAGTGATAGTCTGTATATTCCAGTATTAATTATGGTAGCCATTATTTGGGTTTATCAGGGCGCGGTGTGTATTAAAGTGTGTTTATTGATGCGCCTAGTGTGAATGTCATGTTTATAGGTGTTTGTATAGATTTGTATACAGAGAATTATATGTGGGGTGGGTAGGTCCTTGTGTTTGGATATCCTGTTTATTGCTGTTTGTATAGATGAAGAGATATATATAATTGTTTACTGATGGTTTGCCTGTTAATGTCATGTTTACAGGTGTGTGAAAAGAGGGCATATAAACATGTATGTTTATTGATGTTTGTGGTGGTGGTGATGTATATTCGTAGTCGTTCGTATATACATACGTACCTACAATTTTTATTTTGCTGATTAGGATGTATATGTTTAATTTGGATATAGGAATAAGGGTCTGTTCATTAAGGCATATATATATGTTGGTCTATGCAGATGTTGTTTTTAAAGGTATTTTTTTGTGTTAAATCGCGTCAATTGTTTTGTTTCGAACGTCCAGGAAAACTGACAAATATATAACGGCCAACACACACACATACACACACACACACACACACACACACACACACACACACACACACACACACACACACACACACACACACACACACACACACATACACACACACACACACACATACATACATTTAGGCAGTGATGTGGTGGAGGTTGACTCCATACACAGTTTCAAGTGTAGATATGATAGAGCCCAGTAGGCTCAGGAATCTGTACACCTGTTGATTGACGGTTGAGAGGCGGGACCAAAGAGCCAAAGCTCAACCCCCCGCAAACACAACTAGGTGAGTGTACACACACGCATATTCACATATATACACACATGCATATTCACTCACATATATACACATACACACATGGAGGATAATTCCATACACAGTTTCAAATGTAGATATGATAGAGCTCCAGAAACTCAAGAATTTGAACACATGCTATAAATTAACCATTTTTGTTTGAAAATTTCTGATTCAAGAACGGTATCTAAATCATTCACGAACGTACGATTGCCTAGTCACAGGCAAGCGTTCAGCTCCCCTAGTCAAATGCATAGTTACGATACCTTAATTGCTTGCGAACGTACGATAGCTCCAGCACATACTTGCGTACGATATGCGTAAGTCAGGGTCTTGATGAAGTCTCAAGATTCATCACTGATGACATGGAGTAAGTGGCAAGTCATTAAGATAAAGTCGCCTTTTATTAATATTTTTCCATTTTGCATATATAAATAACTTATTTTTTTCAACCTTTACAGCTTAATTAGCTAGACAGAAAAATTTTGAAAAATCTCTCTTTTTTTAAATTCAGTGTTACTATGAATTTTCAATTCTGAAATTATATATATATATATATATATATATATATATATATATATATATATATATATATATATATATATATATATATATAATATATATATATATATATATACTAAAACACATGGCACTGAAATGTGTGGGATGCATCCTCTCACACACATATGTAATATACAATAATACTGACAGATAAAAAATACATATAGATGTGACACATACTGATCTTCACTTTTGATAATATATGTGATGCATGGAGATACACGTGAGACATACTGACACGCGAGATACATGAAGACACATGTGAGATACATCCAGTGTGACGATCGACCCGGAAACCATTGAGTGCCCCCCTTCTGTCATCTAATTAGACAGGTATAGACACGCATGAGGACAGATAGACAGAGCGAGAGAGAAAGATATGTTACTTTCAACTTCTTCATCGTGTCTATTTATGAATAACTTGCATTGAAAGTTTGTTCTACCACCTATGAATCTAAATTTAGATTTTTCTCCTTGTTCTGCTGAGTGAGTGTGTGTGTGTGTGTGTGTGTGTGTGTGTGTGTGTGTGGTTGTATGTGTAGTTGTATGTGTGTTTTTTGAGGGGTGGGGGGGGGGAGTTACATATGTGTATTTCCATAAAAAAAATACATTTATTACAGAAAGTTAACAGAAACTTACAAATAAACTTTCCAAACTGAGAAAAAAGGCATAAGTTTGGCATCACTGCGTAGGGATAGCTGAGAGAAAGAAGGGGGGAAAAAAAAGGTCACAGTTGAAGAGCCGTCCACGACCTCGTTAGGACTTCGTTAAGTTATGCTGCGCCTGAGATACCTGACTGATAATCCTCGTTAGCTTAATGCCCCTCGCTCAGGTGGGCATAATGTTGGTGATTTTCCCCTCTGAGTACGAGCTGGATAATGTTACTTTATTTCTGTCAATAAATCCGCGTGACTCATTATTCATTGTAGTTTTTTTCCAGTATTGGTATATATATATTTTTTTCCTGTATTTGGTATATATATCGTCAGCGTTTGTGTTTGTTTATTCTAGAAATCTATATAAATATTTTGCTATATATTTATATCCGTGAAAGAGTGTGTTGGGTCATTTAATGCTGGAATCCAGATGTTTAAGGCTAGTCTCATTGAATTTCGCCCGGTGCTTTGTGAGTATATGGTGTCTTAGGGTGCTCGCCCCCGTGCCCCTCCTTAAGAAGAATTGGCCCCTATTGCGAAATCAGAGACTTTTGTGACGTGTGAAATGGGGGTTTAATTTTCCAGAGACTTTTCCAAATATTTTCATGGTATGGGGATTTTATTAAACACATGGCTCTGTATGACTAACCATCCTGCGAGATGGGGACTTGTATTACCACTGCTACCTCATTCAATCTTGTGTTGTTGATATCCTCAAAATGCATCCGGAGTCTGCCAGTGCAGAGCGCTTATCACATGCCTCTGTATGACTAACCATCCTGTGTGATGGGGATTTTATAGCATCACCTAGTTAGCTTTTTTGACACACTGTACTCCACTTCATATAGTCTAGGGTAGCTGCACTAATGCAGATGTACCTCATATCTTAATAAAAAAAATCATTGTCAGCTTACAAAATAGCTACAACGAATCTTAACTACGTTGTTAAATGTTTGTGTCAACAATAGTAAAAATGGTTTATTTTCAGGGATTGCATGTTTTAAGAGGGATGGGGGACGGAGGATGGGAAGAGAGAGGAGGAGAGGGAGAAAGATAGGATGGGAGACAGGAAATAGAACTAGTATTTAATAGATTTTTTTCTTCTACTAGTTGAGCAGTTGTGGTAGTGCCCCATCTGGTAAGGTAGTTATGGGAGAAGCCCCAACTGGAAGGGTAGTTATGATAGGGCCGCAAGTGGTAATCTAATTGTGATAGTGCCCTTACTGGTAAGGGTTATCTTGAGGTTATCTTGAGATGATTTCGGGGCTTTAGTGTCCCCGCGGCCCGGTCCTCGACCAGGCCTCCACCCCCAGGAAGCCAGCTGACTAACTCCCAGGTACCTATTTACTGCTAGGTAACAGGGGCATTCAGGGTGAAAGAAACTTTGCCCATTTGTTTCTGCCTCGTGCGGGAATCGAACCCGCGGCACAGAATTGCGAATCCTGAGCGCTATCCACCAGGCTACGAGGGTAGCTTAGGTAAT